AGCAAAACTGATTTCCAGTTTTCATTCTAAATAGTTTCAGACTAAAATTTCCTACTTCCCCAAAGTTTTAAAGAAGTAATGGTGTTTAAATTGTAACTAACCATATTATCAGAGTATAGTTACTCTCCTCCTCTTATATATTTAATCTCACATTACATAACAGCCCATTTTTAGTTTACAATGTTCATTTAGAAGGTCAAATCACTTCTATAATAAAAATTACAAATATCCACTTAATTGTCTGATTCAGTATTAAATAGTCCAAACAAAACATGAAACGATTGTTTTTACAGAAGATGGTAATTTTTTCTGTCCTTTAACTTTTTAACACATTGTTAATATTTACTCATAATGTTTTCAAGGGATTAATACATTCGGCACAAAACTAGGCTTCTCTTAAATAGTTCGTGGGAACATAACAATTTACAACTTGTAATTGGAATTAACCGACGTAGATAATTTTTAAATTGGCATGGTGAATATTGAATATTAATAGAATTAACTATTTATTTGCAATTAGCATTAGCATGCATTTATTATTTTCAAAGAATTACTCGTGTTCGCTGTCCACCTTCAACAGTGACTTCCATTAATTTCAAAATATGATAGGAAGCACAGTTAGTTTACTTTTTACAGTTTATTTCATTTCCCCTTTAATAGGATCTGTGACGAAAGCCAGCTTTTTGTGCAAAGTTTCCAAAACAATTTTAAGTGAAGTCCAGATGTGTAAGTTTGAAAGCTGTGTCTTTGCAGTGCTCAGTGGTGTGGAGACTCAGATGTCAGATAAAGGCAGTCTTTGGGAAAGCAGACACATGAGTCTTTTTCTCAGGTTCGGAAGTTAACTTCAGACTGAATTTTCCTCTTCTGGTTCTTGAAGACTGCTAAGCCTGAACCTTTAGCTCTCATTTATTCTCAGTGATCACTGGTAATTTGTTTTCACTTGGAAAAAGAAGAGGCAGTCTTTAAAACCTGATATTGAAATTGTCTAACTCATCTGCCTCTCTACTTTGTAATCTCTGTTCTTAAATAATCCCAGCCCTGGCATCTTTCATTGTTGTCTTTTTAATCTGTGTTTAGGACAATTATTCAGTATTTCCAAACATATTTCTCTTGTTGTGACCTTTGCTTGATTCCATAGAAGAAAACATTTTCTCCTGATGACATTGCAGAAAGTCTTTTTTAATCACTGATTCCTTATCTTCCTTTTTTTCCCCTTTTGTTACTGTAGAAATTGTAACAGGAAGCCTTCTAAAATAATCTAAAATATATCCTCAGTAATTTGGTACAGCCAAATTTAATTTATAAATTCAAATTTGCAACAATTTTATTGAGGAAGGAGGGAAAAATGAGTCATGATTTTGATATTGCTAATTACTACTTTTTGATATTGTTAATTACTACATTTTCTTCTGGTTTGCCTGTGTGCTGGGTCTCAAAGCTAAACATGGACATCAGCTGCATGGGGTGTGTTGGGGGGTGAGAACCAGGGAAGAACGGGTCCTGGTACTCTCAGAGAGAGTCCTGTTAAAGATAGGTAGGAGCAGAGCATGTTGGGATTGTCCGTAAAAGCTTTTAATACCACAGCGCTGTTAATGGTGTTCACCCAGTGTGACAGAAGACAGTTCCCCACCCACTCTCCTTATTAGTTGCAGATATCTCTTTCTCCCTTATAAACTTGGGCAGCTAGTTTTCCAATGCAGTTTTCAGTTGTCCTGATAGAAATAATCTTTCTTTTTCTCTGTAAATCTGTTTCTTTCATTTTGTGTCAAGTTAACTTCTTTGCACTTTAAAACAGTCGAGACAGTCCATTTTTCTATTTCACAAAATAATCCCTGCTGTTTTTTCTTGTTGCTCTCTATTCGTTCTCGGTAGCACACTTTACAGACAGGGTAGTACAATAAACTCCAATTTGAAGTAGCAGTTCAGGTTTCTAATGGTGTTTCTGATGTTTGTTTTCAATTTATCACCCCTAATTAAAAGAAAACAAACAAACAAAAATACTGCCCAATACAGCTGGAGTAATAGTTCTTTTTTGTTACTTTTCCTTGTCTTTTTAAAATTTTGTTGTGCAGGATGCTAGGCTATGAGTGTTTAAACACATGTTGGTTTGACTTATACATAGACATTCTTTACTAAACTGTTAGTTTCTTTACTCCAATGTCAGCTCTTAAACTCTGTGGCATAATATGTTGAGTGTATTCAGATCATTCACACGCTGTTACAATCCACTTAATTTGCCTGCACTGAAAGTCCGTTTTTCTAACTTCTGAGGGTAGGCCTCATGATTATCACCTCGTGACTGTCCAATCAGTAACCTTATGGAAGGACTTTATTGCTGTGTCCACCTTCCTAGTGGGAAGCTGTACCATAGATAGATACAGATTTTTCTTGGAATTGTACAGCAGAGATTGGAGGCCACTGGGCACAATGCCACACAGGATATTCAAGTTAGATACCGGGGATAAAATAATCCATTGTGAGGCTGGTTAAACATTGAAACAGGTTGCCCAGACAGACTGTGAAATCTCCATGTATTCAAAGCTAGAGTGGAAATGTAGTTTCCAACCCAAATTATCCCATGGTTGTGTGATTTTACAAGTCTTTTCCAACCCAAATGGTTCTATGATTCTGTGACAGACCTGCACTGGTTCAGCTACACTCTTGAGGACATCTCCATAAAACATGGATGCATGACATGACAGAGTCCTGGTTGTCATTGAATTCTGTGGATTCCATCCTTTTGTGATTTCGTAACATCTTCAGAGACACTTTAACTTTGCTTGAGTAGCTTTTCCAAATTGCCCACTCTTGTTGTCTGCATTCCTCTTGGAATATTAACTATAACTACAGGGCAAGTTACTTCATTTGAGTGCCACCCAACCAGCGAGATATTGCAAGGTCATTGTGGCTTAATGGCTCCTTCAGGGATCCCTTTCCTCCTACAAGTGTGAAAAGGACTCCACATATCTGTTATCTAGTCTATGCCCTGAGAAAACCTAGAACTACTGGAGATTGTAGGATTTGAGGCCATTGGCCCCACACCATAAAATAGTGCATTTTTAAATTCATGTGTGCTTCTCTGTTGGAAAGTTTGATTCAGAGACATGCTTGATCAGACATGGAGGGAGCAGTGCAAGTGGTAGAACTACCCTATGGCTGTTTGCAGGTAGCAGTGATGGGCAATGATACTGCTAGACTCACCGGGGTGCTTTGACGTTGGTGCTCAAGAGGGATTGGATGTGTGTTTGTGTGAGTTACTGAGGAATAAACATCCCAGGAGAGTTACAGTGTGTGTGGTGTGCACTGCAAGGCAAGCGTCTCTAATTAGCTTCTTCAGCCTATTGGTACGTCTGAAGTGGAAGGAGTTACGTACTGGATCTGCCTCCCCGTGCATGAAGTTATTTCTGTGTAAGAGATGTGCTCCCGCAGCAATTCATCCACCCACTTCACTTCTCTGACAGAAATTTTTAACACAAAATTTTCCGTTCCATTGATATGCAATGCACTGTGTAAAATATTAGGTAAATATGGTTGCTAAGAGCCTTACGTGTGTTATGCACTATGCTAATTTGAATTGAATTAAGACTTCGGAGAACTGAGGAGGCTCTTCTTAAAACTGCATTTGCTGAAATTATCATTGCAGGCTTGGATATAATTATACTTAGACCAAATAAACAAAAAACATGAAATGAGGCTGATGATGAAACAATACTTTCCTGGTTTGTGAGAGATTTGTTTTGAATATCATTGCTTTTAATAAAGTCAAATCAAGTACTGCATATGCCCAATAGAAATAATTTTAGCCTATGTAGCATATTATTGTATAACATATTGTTTGTTTTCATATGTGCTCCTTCACATTACGTGATTTTTTTTTTTCTGAAAGTAAAGTCAGCTTAGTGCTGACTCGATTTCAATCCACTTTTTAACTAAATGCTTTTTTCCCACATTTGTTTCACGTTTCATGCACATAATAATATTATTTCACTGCAGTTATGTTAAAATAACGATGTACCTTTAGTTACAGAAATCTTTATCTTATATGATACAAAACTGTAGGCTATTTCAACTCAGATTTGCACAGAGAGAAGGAAAATACCCTTCAAGTATCCATTTAGTCACAGCTTTACACAGTTACTTATAAGGTTTTCATTTCACTCCAGTGCTGTGACTACTCTGGTTAAGTTGAGCAGTGTCAGAAGTGTTCTCATTACAGAGTTTAGGAAAAATCTGGTATTCAAGGAGCTTGTCTGTGTAAGTGTATTGCCGCAGAGGCATGAGTTGATGCATTACAAAATCCCCTTTGGGCGTATCCATGCTTGTAATGTAAAAGAAAGTTCTCAAAGCTAGAAGTAAAAGCACACTTGGGAAAGTATTTAGATTTTTGTAATGCCCTGAGCACCACCTTTCATCTGGTATAGTAATGGACTCCCTGTAAACACAGAAGCAATGGAGCTCCACATTATCTTCTGTGTTTAGAGTATAAGAGCTTCTTAAGAAATACAAATTCTGCAGCAAAAAGATACTGAAGGCTTAAATAAAAATTAATGACATTTAAAGGAGGCCAAAATCAGTACATTGTGGATATTAAGAAATTATATTCAACCTTCTAAGCACATACAGATTACAATAAAACTACTTGAAAAGTTTTATTTATTATGTAAACAAAATTAGAGACTCAGACATAATAGTAATGTCAGAAATTGGTAAGAAATCACTCTGATGGTAGTTACTGAGCCCTCTCTGACTTACTGGGATGTATCCACCTTTCCTTACTAGATCGTACAAATTTAGCAAGCTGTAGAAGTGTACAACGGGTCATTGTTATGCACGTTCTAAAACCGGAATTTTTAAAACAAGACAAGAGACACAGTGATGGTCTCTTGCGCCTATGATAGCCATTGTGTTGGCTCCAATATTTCAAATAGAGTATGCAGTCAGTGAAATTTGATATTGGCAACACACTGATATTTTCTTTCTTTTCCCCCCCCCCCCAACAGATTAAGATGCTTGGTAAAGCAGCTGGAGAAGGGTGACATTAATGTGGTGGATTTAAAAAAGAATATTGAATATGCAGCGTCTGTTCTGGAGGCAGTTTATATTGATGAAACCAGGTAAGTCTGAGCGGGGAAAAAAAAACAGGAAAGGATGTTTGTAATAATATTTTAGAAATTTGATCTTTGCCTGCAGTTGTAACTGACATGAAAAGAAGGTCTCTGGACATCAGAAGAACCGTATGTGGCTCTTGGGTCTTTTAGTGACAAAGTTAAAGCAAGTAAGATTCCAAAGGTCAAATGTAACCATCGTCTGGCAAATTTGCCTAGTTCTCGTCTCCCTTACTTGTCAAATGTCCATCGTATAAAGTCACAAGAATTTTCTGAAGCATGGATTTTCTTTCCCCCACAGGCCACATATCAATGATCATGATGAGGACTGTATCACTGAAAAAAATGGGCTGTTTTGGAATGAAATGCTTACAGAAATGAGTCAGGATATTATAATCTGGCCTGTAAATACATAAATTCACGAAAAGCTGTGATTTATTTTAAAACGTTTGATGCTTTTTTTATGATTATTGTTACTGGCAGTATTACTGGCAATCATCTTTAATGTGGGTTGAATCCAATTAAATTAGAAGTATTTGGCTTCTTGAAGGAATTTTAAGGTATTTACTACATTAAAGTTAACGATAACTTATAATTTTTATTTCAGCGATGTCCTGCTCTTACAGTGCATGATGCATGTCCAACTCTGCAAAAAAATGACAAAACTGTGGTCACAGGGAAGGCTTTCCTGAGCAGCCTCTCAGCTGCAATACAGGTCTAAGGGACACTTTTGAAAGTGGTGTTGGTGATCCCAAGTCAAATACACACCTTGAAAAGCATTAGGCACCTCAGTGGCTGCAAAAGGGCTCACGTGTGTTATCAAGTTGTTTACAGATGCACTTAAATTAAACTGTGCAGGCTTGCACTAGCCATCATATGTGACTTCTGGGGGACTGGATTTGTTAGAAAAAATTCATTCAGAAAACAATACATTTAAATTAGATGTTTTAAAATATCAGTAGTTAATATGCCACTGTGGATATATTTCTATCAGTTTTACTGGCTGATTTAAGGTAACGAAACTTCTTTTATATTGAATCAAAGGTTGATTTGTGGATTTACATTGCTTCATAGTTGTATCTGTAGTTCAACTGATAAAGGGAGACAGATATAAGAAATGATAAGCAAACTTCTCTTTGGGCTCATATTACTACAACAGAAACCATATAATTTCATTTTTCAGTAATTGTTCTAAGCATAAATGTTTTTGACACGTCTCCTGTGGAAGATCTCTGTCCTCTCTCCCCTGTATTACAGGATACCCCGTCACCACTGGTGCTCAGAGCTGAAGCAGATATTTTGCATTAATAACCATGGGAGCTGTGTCAAAGCTGTGCAGGGGACAAGGACAGTAACCACTGATTATTCCTTCCATACACCTCTCAAACACTGTGATTAAATGGATATAGTATCCACAGCTCTTCCTGATCAGTAGGACAAGGATATGAAGATAATGTGGAATTGAGTTTCTAATCTGAAGCAGCCTCTGTGGAAATGAATAGTATCATTACAGTGAGAAATCTGGTCTTGCTGGCTTTGTGTGGGAGCATCAGGACAAGTAATAGACATTTCATACAAAGAGAGAAATAATACACCTGAAAAATATGTGGGCTTTGGCAGCAAGAGGTGCCTTATATTTTTGCTGCAAGCAAATCTTTAAATAAACTAGTTGCCCTCATAGGTTGTGACAGCAGGATTATTAAACTGCCCAAATGAAAAGAAATATACATAATTTTATAGTGGTTTGGAAGATTTTCATAGTCCTCAGGCTATTTTCTTAATCCAAGAGGCATTATGACCACATAATGGTGACTATTCATTTTCAGAAATTCCACTTCAGCATATGAATAAAGCTTTTGCTCTTCCCTAGCTCGATGCACAACAGTGTTTAATCTTAGCTTGATGCACAGCAATATTTAATCTTATTTATTATATTGCATCCAGTATTTTGTAGAATAATCTGATTTTTCACTGTACTGAGTCAGAAAGAAAATACTCGAGACAGGTGTCTTGTTTTGCTCTAATTTCTTGAATACTTTTGCTCTCCAATGCAACCTCAGATTTTGTAAATCTACCAAAGTTTGGCAGCATTCATTATATAAATATTCATTAAGCATATGGTATAGATATTTCTGAAGTATTTGTATATAGACATATAAAATTTCTTGCCCATGTTACTTAGACTATAAGTAATAGTTAAAACTGAAATTACTTTAATGAAATCAATCTTACTGAAAAATCAAATCTTATGAAATCAAGTCTTATTCTCTTATTTTTAGTGGATTGCATTTTATACTCTGTATTTTTAATTTTTGTTTATAGTGGTTGATTTTGATTTTAATTTCTCATACTTTCAATGACCAGTGTTCTATAGTCTAAATCTGCACTAAAATTTTTAAAGATAAACACACAAAGAAAGTCTCTTCAGCTTCTGGGAAGCTAATGTTTGGGGAACAAAAGCAATGTGTCATTGAGTCAAATGGCAATGGAGGCTGGAGTTGGCTTGTTTCATTACATTTGTCCTCGTTCCCACCAAAGAATACAGGTTCTTTGTCCTGCACAGAGCTACCGCTGTTGGGAGTCTGGAACTGAGTTTATTGAACTCATTAGTAGATTAGAAATAATAGTTTGGATCATAAGCA